TATAGAACAAAAGGTAATTAATATGTTTAAATTTTGTTTTGTAGCTGCGAACACTTGCTCGGGACAAAAAAGGAAGCATACGAGGAGCTGGAAGCAGGAAACGGGAGCTAAAACGAAGAAAAGAAGAAAGAAGACTGAAGACCACATCGTGGTGCTTCAACCGCGACATGACGTATAGAAGAATCGCGACCCCTATGTTGTGGAAAAAATGGGAAAAACTCGAAGACAACGTCATGGTGGCGGCCAACCACGACGTAGTGGCCAGATTTCCATAAATATAAAAGCTCAGTCATTGGGTCGAAATTGGAGAGATGCATTCGGTTTTCTGAGGTTATTTGCGATTATAAACCCTTAGAAACCCAGAGGAAGTCGAAATTCAAGAGAGCTCAAGGTTTGAAGAAGATTTAGAAGATATTCAACATTGATCTAGTTGGTTTGCTATTTAAACTTATGTCTAGCTTATTTTACTTAGATCTAATGTGTTTTTCTACTACAATGAGAGGCTAATCACCTTTTACTTTTGTTTGGTGAAGATTAGCTTGATACTTATGTGTTGATTTCAATTATTTGATGATTATTATTGATTTACTTGTGTTTGAGATATATAAACCCTAACATGTTTTAGTTCTAGTTTATATTGCTCATAAATCAGATTTTGTGTGTTAATTGACCATATTAATTGCATGAATCTATCTCCTAATTGTTTATGACCATTAAATAGTTAGAGTTAGAATTAATCACATATTAGCTAAAAGTAATTAAAGCTATTAACTTTAATTGTGTTAGAGAGCATAATTAGTATTAATTTGTTCTTGGTTGCTTAACTTAACCATAAAAGAGTAACTAATATCATTCATAGTCCAATTATGCTATTATCAATTATGTGTTTAACTTGAGCATGACCATTGCCTTATCATCCATAAATCGATAGGACTAGTAATTTGACCATAAGAGCTAGATAATTGGTAATCAATATAATCTATCCACTAGAAATCAACCATAAGAGAAAGTGAAATCAGATCTAGACAGAAGTATTCTTTTAATTCTTAAAGTTGCCTTGTTTTCGTTGCTTGCTTGTTTTCTAGTTGAAATTAAGTTAATCTGATCTTGAAAAATCAGTAAAAAAACCCCAAATCATAGTTTGTTTTATAGCTTAATTAGAAGTAGTTAATTTATTAAATTTAATTTCGTTCCCTATGATCGACACCCGACTTACCTGAGCTACACTATAAACTGACTAGGTACACTGCATATAGGTGCATAGATAGTAAAAGTTTGTTAGGTTATAAATTTAAAAGTAAGTAGGTACTTTGTGCATGAATCAGGTATATATCATATAAATTTTATCTTTATAATATTTCATCTAACAGAACATCTTTGCACATGAGCACATATAGCATTCAATTATCTAAATGCTTCATATCCATGTGTAAGATGAATGTAACTGTGCACTCACTTGATAAAAGTCGATGCTTCGGAATTCGGGGAGAACTTCGCCTTGGTACTTTATATCTTCCTCTAACGTGACCTAGGTACGAATATCTTTAAGTCTTAGTCTTATATTCCTGGTGACTAATGATAGTCTAGATTCCTCACTAACCATAATGTCTACATCAAGATCTATTAAGTAAGGAACAACTACGTAGGATCATATCGGAGGTAGGGTTCATTTGGTATACATGATATACTATTTGGAAATCTCACTTTAAATACCTCACTAAATATAGCCTAGACATCATTCCTGCAAGTAGATCAATAAGTATAATGACTTGGAATTACTAATAAATCTTATTTATAGGTTCATAATAACGACTTATGACTATAAATATAAGTTACACTAAAAGAAAAAGAGTGTAGCTTAACTTACATAGGTTTTAGCGAAAACCATGAAATTGCACTGGCAGGACTTCGTCCTGATAGCTATTAGTTTTCGGGCATTCAAGGACCTCATAACTACCCAAAATACAGTTAACACCAAGGAAAGATTTGGACCAAAACAACAAAAAGTCGGGGTCGGGAGAGAGAGAAAGAGAAAGAGAGAGAGAGAGAGAGAGAGAGAGAGAGAGAGAGAGATTTGAATGGGGTGGGAGAGAATGAGGGAGCTAAAGGTTATTTATAGTGTTGAAAACGAATATGCGCGCCGCGCATAATACTGTGCTTCATGCCTTTCCAGTGTGCTGGCTCCTTTGTTCTTTCGCCACGTGTCGTATTTTTGGAGGTCCTTATAGCCTCCTAGATCGTGTCACTTGTCACCATTTCATGTTGCCACGTGTCGCTTTATCCTTGGGTCACGTCGCCTTGTCTCGAAAGAGAGGGGGTTGTCCGACCATGCCACGTGGCGCACTCCGGTGCTGCCACGTCATCATCCCAGGCGGTTTCCTCGCAGATCTTCGGACGGCCATAACTTTCTTATACGAGCTCCGCTTTCGACGTTCTTTATATCCCCGGATACCTCTCTACAAGCTCTACAACTTTCATTAAGGTCTCAACATCTAATTCTTGTTCTTACCAAAACTCATATTTATACCGGTTTAGACTGTTAAAGTCCATGCGAAATTCATAACTTCTTCAGACGAAATTTGTTCTCGACCGTCTTTATATCGACGGGTTCATATTCACAAGATCTTCAATTGTCATTTAGATTGTTTCAGCTAACAATTAACCGATTTGAATTTTGATTTCTGTACCCACACTTTTGCACTAAAACTTCCAAAAATCACAACTTCCTCTCACGAAGTAGGATTTTGACGTTCTCTATATGCACGCTCTCGGTTTAACCACTACTATGACTTTCGTTTAGATCACTTAGGTAAAAAGGTAATTTATCAAAAATTCACTCTTTTCGATATGCAGAGTCGTGTCGGTTTAATCGCGAAACTTTGAAGAATCATAACTTCTTCATACGAAATCGGATTTCAGCGTTCTCTATATGTACGGAATCCTTGTCACATATACAATAACTTTGGTTAAGGTTATTTATCTTAAATAACCTTTTATTAAAAAGTCATTTTTAACGCTTTATATATATTAATTAATTAACCCAAATCTGCGGGTATTACATAGTGTCCACCCCATGACTTCCTCTTTCGGAACACTTGAGATAGAAGTATCAAGCAATTAAACATTTCAATCATTTAGGCGACCATGTGTTCCCGATCTGCTACTCAAAAATCCGGCGAACATTATTAATGGATCGACCCTACTGAAAATCAAATCTATCGACCACCGCCGACCATGTTATAAAATCAACAACGCCAAGTGAGCTCTGTATCGAAGACCGCTCTTCCCCTAACAGATTTTTTATTCTTTTTCTCTCTTTCTCTTTCTCTTACTCCACCATCATCAAACCTGCAAAACAAGGATATTTAATAGAAGGCGGTGCATGGTCGGGGATAAGATGGGAATGAGAGGCAGCAGATTTCATATAGGGTGGGATGGGCGGTGACGAAAGAGGGGCGACATAACCGTTTTGGTGATGGAACTCCGACGAAGGCGTGGAACGATGATTGGATGTATTTTTTATGTTTTAAACTATTTATTTTTAATTGAATGGCTAACAGATAGCTAAAATTATATTTTTTATGTTTTAATATGTTTTTGATAGGATCTTACGATCACGATCTTCCAAAGTGAAAAACGATCATATATAAGATCCCGATTTTGACAGTCTTGCTCATATGGATGGGGGTTTGGGGGTGGACCCATTTTTGGTTAATAATAAATTTATTAAAAAATAAAGTTATTATTTAAATATTTATTTGCCTAATTAAAATATTAAAAAAATCTTATAAGGGTAGTATAGTCATTTTAGGTGTGGAAGAGACGAAACACGCAATAAAGCGAAAGTATACGGATGGTCCGAGTTAAAAAAAAGAGTTAGGGACTGAACATGCAAATTACCCCAAACCTTAGGGACCATTCGTGTAATTTACTTTTTTTTAATTATAATTGTATAGTATTTTTAGGGGATAAATTTCCAAAAAAAAATAATAATATAGTTAACTGAAATAAAGTAAGATATTTTAAAAAATAAAACTTAAACTTACAAGATTATAATAAAAGTAAACGGTGATGCAACAAATAAACCAAAATACGTTATTAATGTGATTTGATTCACAAGCCACTGAGACTATGTTTAACATACTTGCTAATAAAAAAATAAGTATTTAGTAAAAACTAGCTGATAAACTTAAGCTTACACGATTATAATAAAAGCAATCATAAATAAGATTTTGATACAACAAATAAACCAAAATACATGCATGATATTAATATGATTTGATTCAAAAGATACTATAAGTATATGATTAACCTATTGGCCAATAGAAAATGAAAATTTTATCAAAACTAAATTTAATCAAAACTAACCGGAAGATATAAAACTAATCAAAACTAGCCGGAAGATATAAAACGATATTAAAAAAAAATAGATAATGAGTTTTTTTTGTAATTAGTTAACAGTACAATATTTAATTGAGTTTCAACTTACATACTTTACGAAATCATAGCCAACATAATATATAATATATAATCTAGTGACAATTTTCATAAAGAAAACAATTTGTTTGTATATAAAAAAAAATAATAGTAATAAAATAAAAAAATAAAAAAATAAAAAAATCCTTGACTCAAATTCAAATGTGATGTTTGAAAATTGTGCGCAAAGAATGTCAACCAAGCAAATTTCATCCATTCACGGATTCCACCTATACCCACCACAAAATTCCAAATTGAAGTACTAGGCAAAAACCTTCATTGAAGTCCATGGTCAAGGAAATCTTAAAATAGAAAAAGGTGAAAGGCAAGCAGCTTTTCACATGTTCCTATATTGAAATCCTCACAACACTCCATTTCCTTTTGATTCATTATCTCCCACGACCCACCATTTATTTCATCACTAATTCTTGATCTATGCTGTTTTTTCCCAAAGTCAATCGATCATCTTCTCCAGAACTGTGCAGAAAGGGATTGCGATCGTCCGTCGTTTAGATTTATGCAACATGGGTTTCGACAAGAAACATGAGGCAACTTCCTCCTCCAACGCCCCCCCACGATCGGTTCCTCGGGAAGACTCCCCTCTTCTCGGAAACTACGACGATTCGTTGTCGTCGACGCCCAAGACCTTCGCTAACGTCTTCATCGCGATCGTGGGTGCCGGCGTTCTTGGTCTCCCTTATACCTTCATGCGCACCGGTTGGGTCACGGGATTCGTGATGATCTTCGCCGTCTCCGGCCTCGCCTACCGTGGCATGATGCTCCTTATCGTAACCCGACGAAAACTCGAATCCCCTCTTACATATTCCAAAATCAATTCTTTCGGCGATCTGGGGTTCGCCGTCTGTGGCCCAATCGGTCGTCTCGCCGTCGATGTAATGATTATAGCATCCCAAGCCGGTTTTTGCGTAGGATACCTCATCTTCATCGGTAATACCTTAGCCAATCTATTCCATGCAACCCCAACCGAATCACCCCATTATTTAAACACGAGCCCTTACATTTGGGGATTGAAAGCCAAAACGTTCTACATCTGGAGTTGTTTCCCATTCCAGTTAGGATTAAACGCGATTCCAACGTTAACCCTTTTAGCCCCCTTGAGTATCTTCGCTGACATCGTCGACGTTAGTGCAATGGGTGTCGTAATGGTGGAAGACGTCACCGTTTTCTTGAAAAACACCATAAATGTCCACGCATTTGGTACCTTTCCCATGTTCTGTTATGGTCTCGGAGTCGCCCTCTTTTCCTTCGAAGGAATCGGAATGGCATTACCACTGGAATCAGAAGCCAGAGACAAGAAAAAGTTTGGAGCGGTGTTGGGATGGGCGATGATGATCATTGCTGCCATGTATGGATTCTTTGGGGTGTTGGGTTACTTTGCTTTTGGTGAGAACACAAGAGATATTATTACTGCTAATATGGGTAAAGGTGTGCTTAGTTCTATGGTACAATTGGGACTCTGTATAAATCTGTTTTTCACATTTCCGTTGATGATGAATCCTGTTTATGAGGTAATGGAAAGAAGGTATTGGGAAGGAAGGTATTGTTTATGGATGAGATGGGTGTTGGTTATGGTGGTGAGTTTGGTGGCTCTTTTTGTTCCAAATTTTACTGATTTTTTATCGCTTGTTGGGAGTAGTACTTGTTGCATATTGGGTTTGGTGTTGCCTTCTTTATTTCATTACAATGCCTTCAAAAATGAGTTGGGGAAGGAGGAACTTATGTGGGATTTGGTGATGATTGTTTTGGGTGTTATTCTTGGTGTGTTGGGAACATGGTTTTCTTTGGTTGAAATTCTATTTAAAGCATGAAAAGGCATCAAACTATTACATGATTGTGATAGTAGAGAGAGTCTTCAATCACATGAGAATAGCTTGTTTTGTATGTTTTTGTCCCCAATGGCTCTTGGGTGAGCTCCATTTTAATTGAATTGTTCAACATCTGCATTTTGTCATGTGTGGGGATTAAATTGAACTCTCTTGAGTCTTGAGTGTGAAAAAAATAAATATCATCTTTCTTTTGAGAAACTTAACGCTTTATATTTATTGCTACTACTTTTCTATTCTATGTGCAACATAACTCATTGTCTTTTTTTCCTAGTCTTGTCGATATAAATGCACATTAAACACTTATAAACCAATATAAACCTCAAATTGGGTTTAGTATAGCTCGTCAATATGATTAATTTCCTACTTTGACCCTATTAAATATTAAACAAAGATTATAACTTTTTAATAATTACAAACAAACGAATATCTTAAAGCTATCCAGCCAAATTATATACCGGGTCAGCCAGAGAGATATGAGACATGAAATGTTGGTCTTGTCTTCATTCAATCTGTATATAACATAAATTAAGTGAAGATTTATCATTAAAAATAAAGACTAGATGGATTGTACTTTTTTTTATATTTTGTTTAGAGTTACACCCCGTCCCGAGTTCAACTTGACAAGAGAAAATAAAAGAAATTGATGGAAATGAGAAGAAAATAAAAGAAATTGGTATTCTCGAGTTTCATTAAAGGAAGGAAGTGTGGGGAAATTGAATGATCACTTTCCCTCCTAACTTTCCTTCCGATTTGGAAAGAAAGAACAAAATGATTAATTTTTCGGAAACACAAAATAAAATTTTGTTTTCCTTTCCTTTCTCTCGTGACTTTCTTTTCTTTTCTTTTCTTTTGTTAAACTCGGAAACTAGGCGTTATACATACATGTTTGGTTTCATCTTCTGCAAGATCTTTAAATATTATATACATATTGTTTTCCAGCCACAAGCATTGGAAGTCTGTAGACAGACGAGTGAGTAGTCCATAATATAATCTATTTATTTATCTCTAGTCTAGTCTCTACTATTATGCTACACACAATATAATCTAAAATATTGATGGGAAGAACCTCATCTGCAGACATGAGAAAAGCTTTTTTTTTTCTTGGTTCAATGGTTCCCATTCCAGCCTTCCAGGGGTGCGATTGAGATGGTTGAAAGGGACTACTCTCACATTCATATATGGTTCACTTTTTCTTATTAGATATTGTCGATATATTTAATTACATTTTTAGGAAAGATGATTTTTTGGTACTTTACTTCCAAATACAAGATGTAAACGTCTTTTTGGCAAAATGTATCTCTTGGTAAATTTACCTAATCTAACCTATCTATTAGGTTAAAACTTGATTGTGATGTTTGGTTTGAATCCATTTATTAGTAGAGTAGGTCGGATTTTAGGAGTGTGACATCTCATCTCATCAACAACATCAGATAGATATTATAAGTTATAACAAGCTTAGCCCATTTGCTCATGTAATCCATGATCCATACATGAGCAAGAGCAACCCCCATATATAAAACCAATTAGTGTGAATCATTTATTGAAAGGAATGGTGGTTTCTTTCAGCATCATCTAGTTCTATTTCTAGTTCTAGTCAACATAACATAACATAACCAATTGATGAATGGGCAAAACTGCAGAAAACCAACAAACAGCATACAGATATACCACCACCTGGCACCTGCATCAATTTAAGGAAACATAATCAAGTCACAAGTCACAACCTGAACCAATCCAATCAGCAGCCATTAAATTATTATAATTCCCTTTTGGATGGGTTGCCTATCAAACTATTCATATCCAAAATGTAGCAAACTTATCTCAAATAACCTCTAGTATTATTTTTGTCAACAAACAAAACAAAACAAAATGGGGCATTCAATCAATAAGACTCAAGTTACTCTTACATATGTTATGTCTTATTAGCTCACAAGCAATTTAATTCTAATGTGGATGGATGCAACCGATGTGGTATATGTTTGATATTGTTATCAGAATTTTGCCCTATCGTAATCTACATATACACCATAAAAGCTTAACATAACAATGAGTTCAAATACAGCAGAAAGAAATGCTCATAGCTGTCAAAATCATCATATCTACTTCACATGAATGTTGGATTCGTTGCCAAAATCATATGACTGTAAACAATCACATCACTTTTAACTTGGTTCATCATGTAAAACTTCCAAAGATATTGAACCTAATAAGCAACTCATGTACTTCATATGCATTTCCATTGACAGAAGACATATGATATAAAAATCAACTTCTCAACACTCGACACTCAAGTCAGGTGACAAAGCATGTATGTTATAAAAAATCAAGCCAATATTAGTACTAACCTTTCCCCTCATCTGAGCTTCCCCTTAACTGAACTCTGCCTCTTCGCCGCCTCATTGATCTTCTCAATATACCCTTCGATGGGTGGAGTCAAAGTTGCCATGAACCTATTCACCGGGAAAGGGGCCATATCCGGCACCAGTGCCGCCTCCCTCAAACCTTCCGGCAACGCCTCTATAGCCTCCTTCTTACACTTCAACAGCCCTGTCTCCGCAGCCTGCCTCGCTCGATGCTTCCTCATCAAAACCCTACTATACTCCTTAGCTAACTTCCTCCCATCCTCAACCGTCAACTCGTATTTAGGAATCTTATCAGCGTCAACAAGCCCTAACGTTACAAGATCCAAACCTTCCGGTCCGATAAACCCCGATTTCGATTTCTGGTCATCATCTTTTACCTTACTCTTGTTTTTCTTAAAGCTCGCAATCTCTTGTTTCCTATCTTCAGAAATCAATCCCATTTTCTCCCTCTCAGCTTCTCTCTCTCGTTCCTTAGGCTTCAGAAACCTCACCGGCGCTTTTGCCTGCAAGCAATCGTCAATCATTTGTTCAAGTTGGCCTTTCCTCGGACCTTTCGTCGCCGACGGATCTGGTGCTTGTTGACCTTTCTTTATAGTGATTTTCGATCTCTTTAGGGTTACCCCAGCCTTCACCTTCCCTTTTCCTTTAGCCGTTCCACTGACGGAACATTGTTGTAGGAATCGGTGGCCTAGGGTTTCTATTGATGACGTCAATGGCTTCAATTTCATCAAGTCTGTTATCCGCGCCATTGCTATCAGAGAATCAGCGAGGCAGCGGCAGCGATGGCGGTAATGTGATGGAGTCAGAAGGACTGTAAGTCTGTAATAGGGTTGAATGCGTGACAAAATTCAATAAATTAATGACATATGGAATTAGTAATTTTCTCTTTATTTATCTTTCTTGATTTTTTTTTTTTTTCCGCTTGTTATAATTTAGTAAGTAGAAGCAATGTTTTAAAAACCAGTTTAAACCGGTCGGTCAAAGTGGTTGGATCGGAAACCGGTGGAGGAAACGGTTCAACTATCATCGGTTTTATGTCGATTTCTAAACCGAATTGAACCGGCCGGCTTTTAGAAAAACCTTGTTGAACTTGTCAAAATAAACCGGTTAAACCAAACAAAAACACATGAAAAATAACCATTTACATAACAAACTTTGGTGATTTTTTTTCAAATCTATTTAGTCTTTTCTAAATAAAAACATATGGTAAATGTTATAAAGTTTTTTGATCGTTTGTATTAATCTAAAACTATATTTTGTTTCGGTATTATATTTTATTTTCTTTTTGACGTATATGGATTGATGTAAAACACTAAAACTTATGTTTATATGTTATTTTAATGTTTATAGATTCATCTACAACTTATTTGTATTTGTAATGTTAATGATTGAACTTGTAAACATTAAATTCATGATTTATATATGTATGTATGTGTAGGAAAATAGGAAAAAACATGAAAAATATTGAAACTGGTTGATCCGGAGGTCGAACCGGTTGAACCGGGAACCGGTCACCATACCGGTTCAACTAAATAGGATATCGGGATTCAATTTTTGAAATTTGAATTTCATCCCTTCTGTCTCTCTTAATTGTTATCATCTCATTCACCAGTAGTAACCCTAAATATATCCTCTCTTCCCTCTCTCGAACTTGATGGGTGTCAATCGGCAACTAGAGTAATAATGACAAGAGGTTCGTTTGCCTTTTCATCTTTTTGTTGTTTAATTTATAAGGTTTGTGCTATGTTTCTTGGTGGGTCTTTTTTTGGTACCTGTTGCGCTATTGAATGAGAGTAAAGCTACTATGCTTTAAGTTTATTTCCTTCGTGTCTTCATATTTTGTCAAATCAGAAAAAAGATAGATTAGTATGATAGTGTTAATTTTTTAATCTTTCTTTCATACCTTTCCCTCTAAAAAATTAATCTATTTTAGGGATGAAATTTTTAACATCTCCCAGTAATTATTGTTGATGATGCTAAATTCTTAAGCATGAAAACCGAAGCTTAGTCCCTACTATCTGTATAAGATTGGGAAAATAAAAAATTAGATACTTATATTTTATCTATCAATATATTTATAATTATATTTATTTCCAGAGGTCCGAATTATGCGTATACATCTATTAGAAATGAAGAATGAAAAGTAAGAAGTTTTGTTGATAGATAGCGTTAATTAAGAAAAATAAAAAACACTGATGGTATGTCTGCTTTTCTCTTTTGAGTTTAGTTTCTATAAATTCTTGCTCTCTTGATTAAATGTTTTCTTTTTGTTTTTTTGATTGGTGGTTGACCATTATCTGGCAACTGAAGCTTCAGATTTTAATATGTAGATGTATTATTTGATACATTTTGATTCTTTAGCATTACTCTATTTTATACTTTTCTTGTGAACATGCATGAACACATGTAATTTATTGTTAATTTGAAAGGAAAAACAAAAATTATATAAAGTTTACTAATTGTCTTTCTATTTTAATATGTAGATGTATTATTAAAATGTATACCACCACCATTAAAATACCAATTGTCTTTCTATTTTTTTCTTCCAAGTGTTTGATGAAAGTATTAAGAGAACTTTGTTTTTGCTATGATGTTATTCAAGGAGACTCAAGTGGTATA